TAATAGTGACTCAATTAATTGCGTCAAATAATTGCGTCAATTGCATCAAGGATCTACCTATTTCTACCACATGTATATCCTGTATGGTCTAATATGTTCTTGAAGAATGTGGTCTATAGTAAGGTTTAAATGGTTGTATTTGCTAAGAACAGATTGCGAAGAAATAGGCTAGAATTGTATAAATGTCATTGTACTTTTTATCAGATTTTCAATTTCAATTTTACTTATTTTTGATTTGTTAGCATTTTCATAAGGATTGGCTACAGGAAAAATAGAAAAAGAAGATGGTACACTTGCTTAAGAAAATGTGAAATTTTCTGCTTTAGCCAATGCTTCAGTAATATTATTTTATATATCATTAAATTTAGCCATTATACAAATATTATATTGATTCATAAGAGATAATCCATGAATAAATTGCTCTCTTTGTTATTTGGGAGTTATTTCAACAAGTTTGCTAATCTTTTTGATTCTAGCAAAGAATTATTCAACTGTCATATTTTCTTACATAAGTTGACCAAAAACTGCTATTTGTTTTAAGTGTTCAACTGATGTATAGGCAGTTTTAACCAAATATAAGAATTGTCCAAAAGTAATGTTAGAAGTAATTGTAATAGCAGGAAAACCTCTACTCATATTTGATGCAACTGGTACATCATTTGTTAGTTCGCCACCAGCTATAAATCAATCTTTCTTTCAAGTATCTATTGGAATAACATCAGCATTGATTATAACCTCTGCATCAATTCTATCAATTTCTGTAGCAGTATTATTAGAAAATTCTCCTACTGTATTTAAACCACCAATCTGATTATTATTATTTCCAGCCACCAAAGCTCGAACAGTATTTAAGTCAATCACTCCTAAATTATCTAAAAAATTATTACATTTTCAGTTCCTACCCTTAACACAAGTTTCATATCAAGTCAATACAGGTCCAGCAAAATATAATATTGTTAACCCTAATGCCTCTGCTCTTCCAGCAACTCCTCCAACACCAGAAGTAATATTTATTTAACTAGTCACTACATATCTTCGAAATTCTTTAAGCCAATCTTTTGAATCTTTATCAGGAAGTCCATTAAAAATTGGAGGTCCATATTCTACCATACTTGTTTGATTGTTATTTATAGGTGGATTATTCTGTAGCAATAAAATTTGTTTATGTAAATTCAAAATTAATTGGCATTGTACAAATTTTTTTGTCAATAATATGACATTATATTTTCTTTGTACTCAGATGATTAATCACCCATATACAGTAATTCATGAGATCTCATAATAGTTCCACTTTTGATATCTGGCTATAAGTTGATTATGCCAATATTCTAATATAGCTCCATTAGCATGATATTCTTATAAACCTCTTTTGACTTAATGTGCTCTATTTCTATAAATAGTATATTATTAATAAATTCATTGAAAATTATTTAAGGCTTTGCATCTGGCTCCAATATATGTTAAACCTAAAATAAACAAGCAATCTTTTAACTCATTATATTCATTTTCCAATTCTATAAAATTTTTAGATAGTTTTATATAATTTATTAATTGGTCTTCAAAGTTTTGCTAAGTTTTCAATAATTTTCCTTGAATATCAATTATAAATTCTATTAATCTATAATTTTATAAATCTAACTAATCTTGAAGAATCTGATTTTTTTTTTATCAATTCATTAAAAAAATTTTGCTGATTTCAGATTATATCTACTTGCTTATTTATAGTTTGTTGCTGAACAAATAAATAAATTTTATTTTCTTCAATAATATCTTCTCTTAGGTGACCAATCTCATAGTTATATTTATTTTTGATTTGAGTTATCCTCAATTCAGTTTGTATTTGAAGATTATCAATTTCATTAGAAAGTAATAAGTTGTTATTTTCTCTATAACAATTGACTAAATATTTGAAATTATCTCAGACCTTAATCAATAATATAAGAACTGTTTCAGAACTATCAATAATATTACTCAACATTCTAATATTTTGATGTAATTGTTGGATTCTATGTTGAAGTAAAGATATTTCATTACTTATTTTTAGTAATTGAGCCTAAAAAAAAATATTATTTTTATTTTTATTCTCAGCATCTTGTAATGCCTTTTTAAAATACTTCTTAAGATTCGTATTTTCTGATTTAAGAATATTAATTTCACTATCCTAATTTTTTTTTTTATATCTAATTAGATCATATATTCAAGTTTTATTTGCATTTAAACACGTGGGTTCGACTTAACTCTAGGTACAAATGGATAAACATATCAAATGTCTGACAGATCTATACTATAAGTTAAACTTTTACTACTTTATATAACATATCCGTCAATAGCCATTGGCCTCTAGATGTAATTAAGGAGAATGAAAAAAGTTGCTCTATCTTGATCCACGTTTCTTGTGGATTTCAATATTATCGCCAGCCCTTAATCAAGACTGTTCATCCCAACTTAACCTCTGTAGTCTTAAGGTATAAAAATTTTTATTTTTTGAGAAGATAAAAGGGAAAGATAAAAAAGGAAAGAGAAAAGTTTGTGCTGATAAAATAAAAATCTCATCAAAACCAATCACTAGCCTAATAAGAGCCTTCTTTGATTTTAAGAGAAAAAGAAACTGGCACAAAAGGAGAGGGGGAAGATTTCCAAACACTTTTTAACAAGAGAACATCTTGATGCCTTGCTCTTTCGCTATTATCCAATTACATTATCAGTTATAATGTGGTATGATGTGGAGTACGTATGGATATGTATCTTGTTTATATTTCTTTTACTTGTTGATCAACAAATCCAAGATTTCAATCAATCACCATCCAGAGTTTTCAGTGTAACAAAAAATTCAGGGTCAAACTGAGGTAGGTAAAATTCCCCAGAAAAACCAAAAAAAAATTAAGCACACTCAAAAGTGCCAACTATCAGACATGTATAAATGGTGGAAAAGGTTCATACACCTGGGTTTTTTCAGCTTATCCATCTGCCTGGATCAAAGAAGTTTACTTATAATGGATCCAAGGTTCCCATGTTACTTGGGAATACATTCACTAGTCGACCCAATTAGCTTATCCATCTGCCTCAGACAAAAGGTGTTCACTTACAGTGAACCCAAGGTTCTTATAGATCTTGGGAAATGCATTCACTAGTGGTTTACTTTCTGAAATTCCTGACCTAAAAAAAAAGTAGTGGAGAGTATTTTTTTACAAGTTTCTTCTTTCCAGTAAGGTGTTCTTGCCATAGACCGAATGAATAAGTTTTGTTTATTTTGTCATTGAAATATTCAAAGTTTTTCAAAAAAGGAAGAGCAAACAAGTGGAGAAGGCATTAGCCTTCAGAGAGTAATGTTTTTAAAGAAAGTATATAGATTATATTATCAAAGATAAAGAAATATCTTTAAGAATATCTGTTTTTTGGGTTGGCAAAAGGATTAACAAAAAGAGTTAAAATCAATTTCACTATTCTAATTTGTAATTTGCTTTTCGAGATATAAAATATAATCCTTAGCCTAAGAAATTTATATTTCAATTTTCAAATTTGCACTTCAAGAGAAGCTATTGAAATTTATTCTAGTTTATAATATAATAAGTAATATCAAAGATAAGTAAATTGAGCAAGTCTATTATTATAATCGATCCAGATGAAGAATTAAACTTAATATGTAAATTGCTTTTTTATCAACCTATTGGTTATTATTTCAATACTCAAAAATTATATAATGTTATTAGAAATAAAGGATATAATTTTCTATATAAAAAAGTGCATAACTGGCTTATAAACCAGAATAAATAACAAAAATATGCTTTGTTATCAAAAGATACTCCACGGATTAGTTATAGAAAAATTTCATGTTCAAACTGTATACATATATGTAATTTATTGCACCTTACAAATAATATCATTAATAAAAAGACATATAAATGAGCACTTATTATTATAGATGTCTCATTTTATTTTAAATGGGCTATTCCATTAATATCAAAAAACAGTTCAGAAGTCGCAAAAGCATTTAAGAAAATTTATAATAATTTGAACATTCTTCTTATCTGGCCTGATTTATTACAATACAATAGTAGTAAAGAGTTTATAAATGAAACTTCAAAAATAATGGAAGCATATAATGTTACAATCCAAGTTATAGGTTCGTATTTTCATCAAGGTCTTGTAATCCTAGACAGGTTTTATAAGATATTAGCAGAGATACTGTATAAAGTCCAATCTGCTATTGAAACTACAAAGAGTGTCTATATTATTGTAAACACTTTTTATTATATAATAAAATAAATTATTGTGCAAAAAAAATATTTATTATACTAAATAAATATTTTTATAATAAGTTAAAATATATTATATTTAAATTTTATGTAATTGTAATGATTCACTTGGAATTT